GAAGTGAGAGCATTTAGCATTTGGCTCTCTTGGCCCCACAGCTGGAGACAAATGTATCTTTGATATAGAAGCATGACTTTATTTCTAACTCCCAGCACAGCTCAAATTTCCGACCAGTCCTTTGTAAACAACACCCTCCTTATTAATTCCTTTCTTTTTTTCTCAGATATCCCAGAAAAAAAAAATTAAGCTGAGTATATATGGAAGGTAAGAAGTCTTTTCATTGCTTAGAGGACCATTTACAGCTCCTGCAGCATGTTAGTTTGAATCGTGGAATTGTTGGAAATGGCAAGCTGTTAACACTAAATATTTGATTTCAAACATGAGGAATCAAATCCCCAGATGCCCCCATGCTCTTTAGAAGCTGGGAAGGATGTTTCTGATCATCTGTTTTCCTTCTACACTCATGACTACTCTAGTCCCAGAAACAAGTTAGTGCTGTCAGAATAGTAGGGACAACAAAAGACGCTGAAATTTCTATAGTACAATTTTCTGTCTGTGCTCTGGTAGTGCTACCTGGCACAGGAATAACCTCCCCATATGCTGGTGTTCCCTATATAGCAAAGGGATCCCCAGGCACTGCTGTGAGAGGCTTCAAAGTTTGCTTTTTGCAGTACTGCAGCAGAAAAAACTGGGAGGTGCTGAGATTCCACCCCATTCAGTGTAAACATTTTCAAGCCAAGAGTAGACCAACCATCTGTGTTACTGATATCCAGATCAGTTATGATCTCTGCCTCTCTCATGTAAGGTCAATCTTGTACTCATGTAAAACAGCCCACAGATATTAGCAGGAATAGACATGTGAGTCAAGGAAACATATCAGCCTAATATAATAGAACAGGTAAAATAGTGCAATATCCTATTAATTTATCTCAGAAGTGTTGTTGACGGAAAACTTTTCATTTAAGATGCTGAAAAAAAGCTTTCACAAGTATGTGTGGTTTAAAACCTCAAACACTTAACACGGGGTACCTGAAACATCTAAGTGATGAGTTTGTGAGGCTATTTTATCCACCAAGATCAGATTTTAAGGCTATGTATCTGCACGGCAGAGTTTCTGATATCACAAAAGCCAAACACCTAGCAGAAAACTTAATTTTTCATCTTTTTAGAGGATGCACCGCAGGAGAAATGTGTGAGAAATGTGTGAGAAATCTTTATGCACCACAGGATAAATGTGTGACTGAGAAGGCACATCTTCATGTGAAAAAGTGGGCTCCAGATATTTTCTTTGACAAGCACATACAAATTAAGGTCACTAATTGGGCTGATAGAAATGTTGGATTCAATGTGAAAAGCAGTGTTTAGGTCAGCTTAAGGGCTTGATCTTGCTCCTGCTTGACTCAGTCTCACATTCTTGTACTAGGTGCCAACTTCTGTTCGCTGCAATCTCGAATAAGCTGCAGGCATTTTGACTGTGTACTTCTAATGACCATAATAGCTCTGATGAGTACACCGATTATTTAAGCACTATATAAACAAGATCATCAGCTTTGCAGATCTGGGACTGAGGTGAGGGGAAGGTTTTCCTTAAGAAAATGTCTTGTCTTTTCCTTCCTTGTCAAAATACTCACAATGCTCTCATACCTCAGGAAGGTTACTGCCCTAGCAGTCCAGACAAATAAACATCTGAAGAGCCTGGGAGGCAGAATTTCATCAGCAGTGTCCCCTGGTTGCATTGCAGTGTTGTGATCCTACTAGCAAAAAGCTGGAAGTCAACAAGCTGAAGAGAGCAAATCAATCCAGCTGCCAAGAAACTTTACAAGTCAGCTGTCTGGGAAGCTGACAAGTTTAAACCCGCCCATTTCCATTTGATCTTTATTGGAATCAATGCCTGCCCATCAATCTACCAAAGGCAAAATATCCCATCAGAAAGATTTAGAATTTTTTCTCCTCATTGGTCAATGAGTGACACTATTCCCTATGTGTAGTGCACTGTTCAAACTCTAGTCCTCAGTACCAAATAAATAATTTATTTGTGGGCATTTTTGTGGCATCCAGTGTTGTAGCATACAAGTCCTTCAAAAAGACCCACACATTTCTTCTTTGGAGCCTTCCTCTAATATGGAGATTATTTAATCCCATATGACAAGCAGGAAAGTGAGGAATGGAGGCCCTGAGTTGCCTAGGAATTGATTTCTGAGAGCTTTTGGCATTACATAAAAAGTTACTCTTTCAAAGCAACATTTCTATTGACTGTATCTGGATCTGTGAGTACTCAATAATTCTGCAAGTCCGACCCAGGTGTCTTTTAATAAGCATTTGAAAATGAGGAACTTAGAGTTGGTGTCTGTTTCTGAAAAGTTAACCCCTTGAAGCCAGATCTGAAGCGTGTTTTCAGGCTCTGTAAGATGAGCGTCACGTGGGTGGAAGGCTAAGGCATCAGTGAAGACTTAGGTGTCTCAGAATGGGATCTGAAATAGTCAGCAAAATTATGAGTAACAGTGTGAAGTCAGCACTGTTCACATATTACATACAGACATTATCTGGAGGAGACTATGGATGAGATTTGGAAACATGAAAGCTTGGAGAGAAAAATCATAGTGAGTCTCACAGAACATCTTCTCTCGCAGGAAAACTGCTGGAAGACCTGAGCCTTGAACCTTTCTGTGAAGGTTCCATTTAGGAAAATCCCCTGTTGTCTTTCCTTCTGGGGACTGAATATGATTTGCTACAATCTTTTAATATGGTTGATAGAAGAGAAACACTTCCTTTCCCTGTCTAAATGATAGAGTAGCGGTTAAGGTCAGGAAATAGATGCCTCAAGTTGCCTTCAAAGTCTGACCATGGGACGTATTATCTGAGCGGGAGATTGTTTTAACCAGAGTTGCTGGGCACTGTCCATATTTCACATCAAAGATGCACAGTAAAGTATTATCAATATGACAGTTCAGGGAAAGACCAAAATGCCATGCAGAAGGGCAAAAGATTCTCTAGCCTAGTGACAAGGGCAGTCATGAGCCATAAGGTAACAGACATAGCTTGATATCTACTCTTTATATTGGCCTTTCAGGTTATTTAGCGACTACTTAGTGTGAAACAGTGTCTTTGAAGATGGGACTAGACGTGAGGTCTTTTGCCTTCTAGCTGAACAATATTTCAGGCATCTGCTCCTTTTCTATTCAATGAACCGTTTCTTGCTCTTCCAGCTTCAGCTGGCCAGGTGCAAATCAGCCCAGACTGTGGTAGCTGGCATACTAGCTAGCTGGCAAGGAAGGAGGTGGCTAAGGCTTTAAATACTTTCCAAAGAGAGTGTAGAACATGCATGCTCCTTCTCCTAGGAGAGTGCTCTTGAGGAGGAGTTACACTACTTCCTACTCCTTGACTGTGTTTGAAAATAAAGTATTTGTCTTTGTAAACAAGAAATTACTGATGTGCTTTAAGCGTGCTCCTTACTGGCACTAGGCCAGCTCTCCCAGTCCTGTCAAAATCCAATTGTTCCATAATTGCAGATGGACATCTGCTCTATGCCTGTCCTTAAGTATCTTAAGTACTGCTATCTTATGAGAAGCAACTACTAGGGTATAATTCCCCAGTAGTCAGAAGCTGTATGAGAATTGTCCCCACTTGGAGCTGAAAATCTGAAGTTCCACCTCATTACCACTTCAGGCACTTTTCATGTATTCTTTTCTTAGGGTGGTGCCCTTTTCTCAGCACCACCCAAGACTTTCAGGCAGAATCGATAGTGGAATGTCATTTCCCAGGACATCTCTCAGTCACTAAAATCACACGACTAATTTGCCTTTTCTTGTAGTCCTACCTCTCATTCAGCATGTGTCCTCCAGCAGCAAGCAGATGAGAGCTGATCAAGGACACAGGCAACGGTCTCCCTCTGAATGGGCTGTTTATTGATTTGTTGTGCTGAAGTGTTCTTCTGTAATATTTACACTTAGGAGACTGAGGACTGTACCACATGCACGAGGGAGATGTTACTAGATGAAGAGTATGTCAATATTAGTAAATTAAATGCTGTCAGGACCTGGGCTCAGGCCATGAAATTCAATTCCTTGGCCTGTTACAGTTCTGGCACAGTTTTATTTCACACAGCTAATGCTCCCTCAAACAACTCTGGGCCCCACGCAATCACCTTGTGCAGTTTGGGAGTTATCATAGACCAAAGATCATTCCCAAGAAGGAGTTTGGAGGTAGCCATCATGTTTTAGAACTTGAGAACAGTTATTACAGATGTGTAAAATAAGCTAAGAGCAGGGTATGACTGGTCGCAGCAAATGGATACAGTGTAGAATTAGTCGGGTAAAACCAGCTTTCCGTGTAGACCACGAGAGGGTGCAGGCGAACCTGCTTTGCCTGGTTTTAAGTTACTGAGACCTGGAGATTTCCCTTGTTTCTCCAGTGTACTTGAGGAAAAAAAAAAGCTGACGGGGTCATGCCTTGCTGTCATCTACAAACCAACTCATACCATCTGATCCGTGTGACACAAAGTCCGTCTTCTTCCATTACCAGCCACTGCCCTCCAGCCTCACCGACCTCCATTCCATGCTACCAGTTTTCCTCTTCTCCTTTTTTAATTTCCCTCACTGCTTCTGTTCCTGCTTATCCACAGTTTCCCACCCTACCTCTCACTACCCCCTGGACTCCAGGAGGATTTCCCTTTGATCCCTGCACTGCTTGACTGCCACAAGGTGAAGTAACAAAAATATGAAAGGCTTTTCTCCCAGCCTTCAGCTGCTCAGTGATTGCAGCCCAGAAGTGGGGTCCACTCAGTGTACCCAGCATCCTGGGAGAAAAGGATTTCAACTGGGCATGAATTAGAGAGTCTAAAAGACCAATAATATTTTTGAGAAGGGGGAAAAAAGAAAGAAAAAGTCTTTACCAGATGATTCCTTTCTTTGTGCTTACTCACCTACTCAAAGCAGCAGCTCGTGTTCCTGAATATTCCCTTATTGCCTCAGCAACTGCCTCATACAGCTAAACTCTGCATGTAACATCCTGCCAAAGAAAATGCAAAACTTTTCATCTTAAATGTTGATCAGACTTACAGGCAGCTCCCTAAGGATTTTGTCTCGCCGTGGTCACCGCTGATGTTTCCGTGCTACAGCAGATCAGGTTTCCTCTATGAGTAAGAGCTGCAGAAAAGACCAAAGGAAAAAATCTTTTAAGAATCAGTTGTTACCAAAAAAAAAAAAAAAAAATAAAATTAAAAGGAACACATCTAAAGATAATGCTGAACTGTGACAAGCACTGATAACACTGCCTTTCATAGCTTTCAAATACAGTTCACTAGCTGTAAAATGTTCCTGTGCAGGATTACTAAAGGTGCATAATATCCACATCTGAAGATGAAGATAAAAGAGCACACACTCTTTGGTGACCTGATCTTTTCCCTTCCCATTTTTGCAGACCTGAATCAGGTGCAATGCATCTGGTAGTAAGTTACCCGGGCTGCTTCATCATGACCACACTGATGAGTATTTTCTGTTGTTATTTTGAGACTTAATCTGCAGTTGGGAGAGCGAGGGTGTGAGGGCAAATTATTTTCCATTCACCAGGTGCCTTATTTTCCATTCACCAGGTGCTGAGCTTGGATTCCTCATGCAGTAGTGTGAAAATGTGACAAAAATATGCAGCATTTGATGAATGAGATTATAGATGCCTTGCCCCAGGCTGAACACTCTTGAACCCTCATCCGTCTGTGTGCAAAAAATGGCAGAATCTCTCTGTTATGATATCAATAAGAGCAAAAAACCACCATTTAAAAATAATGGAGTTGTTGCATAAAGTGTGTACAGATATCTCTCTGTCTTTCTCTGTCTGAGTATTTAGCTATTTAGCTTTAGTTAAATACTCACTGAAAACACTGAAAAATAAGACTACAAATGGAAAATTTCAGTAAAGATGGGAGGCTTATGATCAGAAATACGTGAAAAGAGACCAGGTCAAACTGACATTACTGGATTCAAAGGATTTAGAAAATGAACCCTGTGGGATATTTCTCATTGATTAGCACTTAAATTTAGGGGGGAAAAAATGGATTATATTACCCCTTTTAAATCTACTTTAAAATAACAAGCCTAACTCTCAGGCTGAGAGTCCTTCTCAGATTTCCTGCGTATAAATAGCAAGCCCGGGAGGAACACCAACTTGACCTTCCCATTCAAGAGCTGGAAGTAAGAGTAAACAAGCCCAAATAACAGTCCCCAGAACATTTACTTATAAAATGAGCTCATTTCATTCAGGAATTTCTGAGGCATTAATCAAGGGCCAAACACTGCCACTTCTATAAAGTAAGTTTTCAGAGGAAAACTTTCAAGCTCATTTTGCATACTGTCAAAAACATGAGGACAGTGTCAATAAATATGTGTGATATGAAAAACATTCTTCTGTCCATTTGGAGGCTTTGCAAACATTAGCTGTCAGCGGTGAAGCCCCCTGGACTTCTGCTTCAAAACAACCTTTTATCTGGAAACTATGCAAATATGAAGTAAAGTTGTTAGGCGGAAATACACGTGCAAAATGCCACCACATCTTCTAAACACATTGAGAAACAGCCTTGGTGCCTTTTGTTTTTGAGCAGGACAGAAGGAGTCCACCACACAATAACTTCCTGAGGCTGGGTTGTGGGTTGCTGGGTTTCTCCACTCCAGCCACTTGACCAGAGTACAGCAGTTACTGGAGGACACCACATTTACCATACCAGGAATGACTTCTCTAGGGTTTGTTGCTTTTCCACCCTGTAATGCTGCTACAGATAACGTAGGCCTCCCTCCAACAGAGAGGAGTACAGCCTTTTCCCACACCAGAAAAAGATATTCATGCTGCAAGAGAGTGCTGAAAGCAAACATTTAAAATCACCTAAGCTGGCCATTTTGGCACTTGCGGTCATCAGTGAGAGAAAAATTGTCTGCACAGGCAGATGCATCTGACTTGAACCCAAACCTACCCTGAAAGACAGAAGGTGAATACACATCTTCAATAAATATACCTGAAGAGCAGCTAAAAACTGAAGGCAGAATCAGTGGTTAAGCTGCTGGTTGGTGATGGGGGAATCCTGGTTCAGTTTGCTCTTCCCACACAAGGCTACTGAGTACTTTCCCTTGAGCTGTGCCTGTGCAGTAACTGGGAAATGTGACTGCGGAGGGGTAGGACTCCTCAGCCAGCTTTCATCTAGTCAGCCACTAATGCCATAGAGAGCTGAACACCAAATTGCTTAGCACCAATACTCAAACTGAGAAGACTAAGGCTGATGCAAGTGCTTCTGCCCATGGGTAGCAGAACACGCTGTGCCTAAAGTGATGCACAGCTGTTTGCAAGGGAAGACCTGGGATTCGTGATCAGATCACCAGCACTGGGGAGCTGCAGAAACCTGGTGCGAGTCTGGTGTCAGCTGGGATTCATCTGAGCTCCCCATCTGCAGATGACAGTGACAAGATTTCTGAGGCTCATAAAGTCTTTTAAGGGTGAAATTCGTTTCAGACATCCAAGTGCTACCCTAGCAGCAATCTCACAAGTCAAGTGGAGGTGATTTAGGAATGAAATACAAACATTGATGGGACTTGTGTGTCTGAATCAAACAAATGCTTTTGAAAACCCTAGCTAGATTCTCCTGACCACTATGTATAAAAAATCCAGAAAGCGCCAGTCACTGAGCACAGGCAAGGGGACAGTGTACAAACATTAAAACTGACTACAAACAAAGACTTTAAAAACAGCAAATGCCAAAAACCTGTATCTCTAGTGCCTAACTTCACCCAGGGGTCCTCACGGCATGTACAATTTCACTTTCTGTAGGGTGACCTGGTGACAGCACATTATTACAATAACTGCCCTACAGATGACTATTTTATGCTTGTTTCTGAACTATTATTAAAACCTCCACACAAGCAGTCTCTCTCCCTGTCTATTAAGAGACAACAAATGCACTGTGCAAGAGTGCACTGTGTTACAAGGCTTCCTTCTGGTGCCAGTCTGTCTGAGTTCAGTTTTTATGCATCAAAACACCCCGATGAAATTGTATCAGTTTATGATATGGTTCCACAGTCACTTCTGTCTGTGTGTTTGGTTGCTGCAAACCTCAGGAACAGTCTCAGGATGACTACATTACATGACTCTGCAATACCTAGTAATAGATATCAGGTCCAGATTTACAAATAAAACTGGTACAGAATTATCTGTCTGGGTTCCCCCTCACCCCCCAATTTGTAGAAGCTCGTTCTTCCTCCTTTTAAAAATACTACTGAAGACACACTACGATTTTTACTACTTTCCTTACTAAAGCAAACTGTACACCTGAGCACCCCTTATTTTTACAGTGGTTTGTGTAGAATGAACTCTTTAAAACTGGTGGTAGGAGATTTCTTTCTCTTTTACAGCAGCATTTGCTGCAAAAATTCTGACATCTGACTATGTGTAACATAACTTCTTCATTATCATTGCTCTGTTATTAACCCATGCAGTTATTTCACTACTTCTACAGCTCACAGTCATCTGGCACAAAGACACACATGTACTTATTGGATTGCAATGAACTTTGTTCTCCCTTCGGGTATAAGTAAGAGGAGGGAAAACAAATCAGTCTTGGCTGAGTCTGACTCTGCTGAAAACCAATTTTGAATAAATAATCAAGAAGTGAAAAGCTGTATTCCTTACCTGGTCTGGGAGGTACAGTGCACCTTGAAAGCCTCATAAATGACAGAGAAGAATTAGAAATAGTTGAAAGTTTGTACTCATCCAACCACAGGGCTCAGGAAATGACCGTGTATTTTGCAACAATTAACCTCTTCCTCACTTGTAATGTCTTCACTTTTTCAAGTACAGTGAAAAAATTCATCTTACCCTTCCACTGCAGTTTGGTAACTAATGCCATGCCTTACACACGATTTCTGTTTCACACTGAGAACATGCAGGTGGCCAGAGGAGATGGCTCTGATCACCTCCATGGAAGAGAGCATTTGCAGTGTCTTCTGAAGAGCTGTGAGCGAGTACATTTTACTGCTGAGTGAAGCTTACGTGACGAAGTGTAGAAATTACTAAGTAATGGCTTAAGCACCGAACTCTCAGTTTTAGAAGAGTCTTAGTGCAATATTCTCAACATGACTTCAGTGTTGCTGTGCCCAACAAAGCAAGAAAAAAAAAAAGTTATTTAAAGGAGCAGCATCCATTGCAGTCTGGACAAGCACCTGATGTACATATGGTGTATGATACTTCTCTAGGTGACCGTCATGTGTGTTGGATATCAGGAGTTAGGTCCTCTGTGCATAAAAACCCTTCTGCCCCTAAAAGCCTGTTTCCCCTGGGGGAGGATCAGCATCCCGAAATGCATTCCCTCCACCAAAACAGCAGACTGGAAAAGAAAACACTTCCAGCTATGCAGACTGTAACACTGGAGGCAGACCTGTGTTTTGCACCCTCCTCCTATTTTCATGATTTAGAGAAGAAGCCCTGGACACATGTGCATAGGTGTCCTTTCCACAGCCTTGAAGTCTCTTCATCTACGCATGTGTGTTTTATTTTAAGAATTTTAGGGCAGGGGGGGAGTGTCACTCCCTGCATTTGGGATGTTGATAGAGGAAGAGAAAATAGAAATGTCACCAACACTCACTTTTATATAACTGTTTCATAGCTCAAGCACCCATATGTGATCGTCTGGGTCTAGTCTTCTCTTTGAGAAGAGCTAAATCTGTGTTTTGGGCATAAAGCACATAAAAAGTCCACAGCAGCCAGAATAGGTAGGGATCTAGTCCATTCTTCCAGCAAAGCTGAGCTGACAAAGCAGGACTTGATGTGTCAGTGAGCCTGTGCTCCACAGACTTTCAAAGGGAGAGGCTTTGTATGAGCTTCATAAATGACTTCAGTAACAGTGACCAGAGCTCAGCATTGTCCAGCTCTCAGTGGATGGTGCGTTTCAGAAAGATGCTTCTTCTTAGATTATTATTATTTACAAGACTTGGTTACTGAGATCTTGGATTCCTCTCATCAGAGTGGTCCAGCCTCACCAAAAGGACTGGGAAGAGTACACATCCCAGTGTGTCCTTAGGGTATTATCCCAGAAAATGAGACTAAGGAGCCTGAAACTGTCCAGCCTGAAGGGTCTTCCAGTCCCTGGGCCAGTACTGTGGATTACTGCACCGAGGGTGGCTCAGACCACCTTCCCCAGCACCGCTCACGTCCAGCCTGCCCTGTGCAGAGAGCACTGCTGCACCTGTGCTGGACAGGGCTCAGGTGCTGGGAGTCAGACACTGCGGGGTGCTTCCTTCCTCCTTCCCCCAGATGACAGCCCATCTGGTATCTCACCCTGCAGCCTGCAGAGCTTCCGAGCCTGTGGAGAGATCTTGTTTTTGGGTTATCTGAGGCAGCAGTGGGGCTGTCTCACCTAGCTCTGGGTGTTTCCACTGGAGACCTCTGCACCAGAGCTAGTCACTCAAGGCACTCTTGAATATAGGCAATGGAGAGGATCAGACCTTTGCAAGGTCCTTTAATCTGGGAGTTTTAACAGCCGAGTAAGAGTTCCTTTTGAGATATAGATAGAGAGATAGAGAGATGTTTGTATAGCGTTTTATACAATCAAGAGTTTATAAAAACAACAAATACAATCCTTATTGTCCTGTTCTTCCATTGACTTCCTTGGGATTATTTTCAGTATTAATGACTCCTGAGGCATGCTCCTGCAAGACACTGACAAAGGTGATCTACACTTGGTGTTCTTTCACCACAAAAATAATGGGGACACACAGGATCCTCAGTGTAAGCAGGTGCTTAGTCTCTCTTTTTGAATGGAGGCCAGAACATTTAGGTGATTCCTCAGGCTAGGGCTATTTATTTTATAGCTTCATATGCAGAAGCCCTGGGGAGTTTTACATTAAATGTCATTGCAGGACAGAGGCTCAAGTTCTTCTTGCCTTGACTCCTCTCACTTTCATATACAGAAAACTGAATCAACTGTCAATCTTCGTCAGCTGCTAGACTTGCTTCTCACCACGAGCCTACAGGTAAACAGGAAGGAGTTTCAGTCTCACAGCCTCAAAGCATGCAAAATATATTGAATTAGACCTAAAAACTTATAAGATTTGTGTTAGTTCTTCAGCTGTTATTTTTTTAAAAACAATCCTCTTTCAGGTCGAATATAGCAGGTTAGAAAATTTTTCACTTTTTGATCCTTAAGGCTACAAATATGTAAAATTTTTACAACTTTTATTCACTACCATTTTTAATGGACTTTTTCCCCTCTAATACAAGGGAAAAGGCCTTTCAGAACAAAAAAAAATCAGCATTTACTTTTGGTAAAAACATATGAAATTTGACAGTCCTGGAGTATAATATGATATAATGAGTATAGGCAGTAATCAATCCTGCTGTACGGTATACTGTGGTATATTGTAACTTAATAGAGTTGTAAAAAATTACTTAATAATTGTAATATTGTTGTCGTCTTGGTTTTGTTATTATGATTATTAATATTATTACTACTCCTCAGTATATCTCCAGTGCAGACATCTTCCTCTAGGGTGAATCTGCACCAACCCCAAGGGTGACCTGACTGTGGTTCTGGCTCCTGGTGTCTGGAGGAAGCAGATGCAGATGGGGATCTTGTCTGCACAAGGCCCTGAGGACTCTCCAGCCTCAGGACATACCAACCCCTTGCATGAAAGCAGAGAAAAAAAAATGGTCTTGGGGAGGTGCACTAAGGCTAAATGTGGTTATTTGTGAACAGCAGTGTTATTCCCAGAGAAGCTAACACTAGATTCTCTTCTGTAGCTGAGGAGGGTGTGAGGTAGTGCACAATTACAGGCTCAATGCAGGACCTGACTTGGGTCCCTGTGATGGACTCAGCCCAGAAGTCAATGACCAGAGGAAGACCTAACTACTGGAGGGTATGGCATGAGGTTAGTTGTGACATGAGGACAGGCAAGAGACGCAAGCTGTCATTGCACTCTCCCTAAAGGGTTCTTTAGCTCAGCTTGAGGTGCACTGGGAGGCAAAGAAAGCTTGCACAGGTGGTGGTGGAGCAGTCTGTAAGCACAGTCACATGGGAGTGTGAACAAGGTGGTGGGTGGTGAAGAAGTCCTGTACTTACAGAGTGAGAAGACAGAAAGGTAAATCTATATGGAAAAAAGGAGGAGATTGGAGGGCTGGAGAAGTATGGGAAGGTGGTAGGAGGCTGAAAACGAGTCCCAGAACTGTGGAAGGAGAGCAAGCAGAACAGAAAGGAGGAAAGAGGGTCTGCTGATATCCATCCTGTATCATAGCAGAGGGGAAGGAAAAAAACAAGAGTATTCTGGGACACTTCTGCTTCTCTGTCAACCAGCATCCAGAGGTCTTTGGGCAGGTCTCCTGGGCTCAGCCACTTGATATCTTCTAGGCAAGCAAGATCACCATGGCATGAAGTGTCCCACAGTAAGGTGAGCATTACAGAGGGATGGAGGAAGGTAGGCAACTAGTGAAAAGAAAGAGGAGACCACCTCCTCACAGTCAACCTGATATCTCTAGTTCCCTAACATCTACCCATTTCCAGAGCTCAGAAGTGAGTTCTGATGCCAACAGTCACAAGGACAGACAGAATATATTACTTCAGCACTCACTGCCCATGTGGCAAAATGTATTTTTGCCCATGCTATTGAGCTGGCTGTGCTATGAGGGCATCAGACATAGGATGAAACTCCAAACCTTAGTTACAACTGGTAGTCCATTTCAGTGCTTACATGCAGCCACCTGTGGAGATCTCCAGAAAGAAGACATTCCTCTTAACTCTTCAGGGAATAAGTGGACAATCTTGGCCAATTACTTCTAAACTTAGATTAAGTATTCAGATGTCCTAGGCCCAGAAAAGGGTGGTATGGTGAGAAAGAAAAACTACCTAACAGTTTTTCCGTGTACAGGGAGGTGTGACCTACTTCCTTGTCTAGCTGCATGGCCTTTGTAGGGTCAGAACATTTCAACTGACAGTTATTCATCCCCAAAACTGCAAGCTCATGTAGTTTTGCCCAAGAGCAAATGAAAGGGAAAAATCCCTCAAAGCCAAAATTATTCATTTCAGTGTTTTCAAACTGGCATATTTTCATTTCAGCATAGGAGATTTCTGTCACAGGAAATGGATGCTGCCTGATTCAGTGGCAATACTATCTTTTTGCTTTGCTTGAGACTGGCCTTCCGTTTCCTGGTGGAGCATTTCAGCCACTGGACTGCTGCATAGTTTGGGGTCACAATCTCCCCAGCTACATCTGTTCTATTGCACCCAGGGAGACTTCCTACTTTTCACATTGAGGTAAGTGTCCTGGATGCACCCCAGAACTGGACTGTCTCAAGACTTGGAGAGTCTCAACACTTCCTCCCCCTCCAAGCTCAATGACACATAGCCCTTGGTTCCTATGCAAAAGGGGCAGAGGGGAGTGAATACTCTGTGATGCCTAAGGTGGGAGGAGAAGCTGGGGAGCAGGGAAAAGGAGAAAGAGCCCTTAGGTAGGAGTAGGCAGGGGGCACAGCCTGCAAAGCAGGAATCACCAGGGTCATCAAATGCACTGTGGCATGCATCAAACTGCAAGTCTAGATGCAGAATTTGTCTTTCCTGTTCTATGTTGTACAAAATACTGAACTACTCTCTGTGCAGAATGAATCTGTTCCTGGGAGGGAGGTGATGCTTGGATTGAGAACCAAGAGGTGCCTCAGTTTCCTGCAGCTGAAACTCAAGCCTATCT